ATAAAAATTTGTTTTGTTTTTCTCTCGAACGGTCGCATTCCAACGGCACCTGATTGCCGCGAGCCGAGGCTGGACCCCTCGGCTCTCGGGGTGGTCCCGAATAGCTTGGGACCATCCTGGACCGCTCCACGACTGACTGGACTTTTGTTTTTTACCCCACCAAGCCTTCTACTTCTCTACGTCCTCGATCCTCGTTCGACGATCCTTTCTCTTTCTCTCTCTTTCCCCATCCCTTTTTCTGTCTCTGTTCCTCCGCTGGCATCTCGTACACCTACGAACCGTCGCTTCTTCGGCCTCCTCCTCCTCCTCCTCTCGCGTAACGTGCACGCGAGAAACGCAGAAAGAGAAAGAGGGAAGAACGGATCTGACCCTCTTCTCTCTTTTCTCTCGTAGAACGGCCAGCGGAGTCTGTTCTTGCGATATTTTCCTGGAAATATCCGTGAGTTGTTCCTCTCCTCAGTCCCGAGACCGAGTGGATCCACTGGAACAGCGGGGCCCGATCGACGAATGAGGCGATCTCCGGCTGTCTCCTTCTCTGTCCCTCCGCACGACGACTTTCGAACCGTGACTCTGCTGCGACCGGATTATTAGTTCTAAGTAAAACACCGGATAGACTCTTCTTTTCGATGATTGGAACGTCGACCGTGGGAAAATTGCTTCGCGGCGTGGTCCCGTCAATGGGTAGCGACCGTCTTCTGTTCTGACGCGCCCGACACCGCCACCGGTCGTCCTATTTGCGCTTCGACTACTTGGTAGCTCAGCGATCAGACGGTTTTACGAGTTTCGGTCAGTTGAACGGTTTCAGGGTATTTGTCTGAATGATCGGAAATAATGTTTGGGAATGTTCAAAAACTGGAGTTAATTATTTTCACCTGTGAACGACTTATATGTGGATGACTCTTTTTTTTGTTTTTGAAATGTATAAAATGTGTTTGAACTTAATCCTATTCTGAACATTATTTTGGCAACACCTAATTTATTCTTGAAAATGCCGACTTCTCCATAATCTAATTTAATAATGTCGTTTATATCGCCGTCGAGATATATCATAAAAGTAAAGTAAAAATTAATTTACTGCCGCTATTTACTTTAATAATAATGTTTACAGTTACAGTATTTTATTAAATGTAACGTATCCTTCTTTCGTGAAGCCATAAAAATATAATGAAGAATTCCAATTAATAAATAACTATGCCATACAATTTGTAGTCCTTCTGAAATATCTCCGAATAAATTATTAAAATGTTATGTTCAAGCATAGATGCATTAAGTAATATTAACGTAAGCTCTCAAACAAAAAACCAAAAACTTTCGAAAGGGTCAATACTGATGAGGATGTCGTCATTCTTAGAACAACTTTACACCGATAAAGATATGAAGTTTTATGAACAAGGAATTAGGAAATTGACTAAAATATGGTAAAGAGTACTCAAACAAAATGGACAATGCATTGTTTAATTCATTCGAAACCAATCACACCCCAAATGTGTAACGCACTACTTAACCAGAAAGACTAATCAGAAGTAAAGTAAAACTTAATATCATACAAAGATCAAAACTTCTATTAGTTCCAAACTAAGACCTCAAAATAAATTTTCAGAATCCACTCAATACTTTCTCCAAATTTTCAATCTAAATAAAAAAGGACTATGAACTCTCAGAAGCCATCCTTCAAATACACTCCAATCCCAAATAGGTTAATAAACTTTCCGCATTCAACATAAAATTCGACTTCCATTTGTCGAAAAAAAAGCAACGACCTTTCTAATGCGACTAGAACAACGAGAAAGGGAGCCGAAACTGAACAGCCGTCACAGAGACCGGGCCTAATCATTAGTCTAACTACGAGGCGGATAGGGAACCTCCGTCCGGGGCGCATTC